ATTAAATTTCTGCCTTTCAGGCAAAAAATCACCAATAACACCTGCTGCTGCATTGACTCGTCCAAAATGGACTTACCAGTGACTGCCAATAGTGAGTCATCAAACTCAATTCACTTCAGCCAGCAAAAAAATCCCCCTGTATTTCAGCACCTTCTACTCACAGCTGATGAGAGACGACACCTACAAGAATTTAGGCCCTGGTATGGTGTGCATTCACACCAGCCAAGCTGTCTGATTTACATCGAGAAACAGATGTCCCTCAAGTGATCTTGAGATTACCAGCACTCGGTATACCTGCCCTCGCTTCTATGCACAACCAGCCAGCACTGGATTTGGCTATTACTGCCCAACAGATTGACCTACGTGCTGGGTATCCGCTTCAAGGTTTTGAAATGTCTGAATACACCAACAAGCACCAAAGAATTAAAAAGCTTTGTGCAGTTTTTCTTGGGAAAGTCATGAGAAATACATTGAGAAGTGCGTTGTATTAAACTGCAAGGAAACCTAAATTTACTTTTTAAAAAATCCCATTTCGTTTACAAGGCCTCAACGTTTTACATCATTCTCTCAAATGCTTTCTGGTTCAGGTTCCCTCACCACTTAGCCTGGCACATGCACACATTAAAACCCTCTTTTGACATGAAGAGTCCAAGAGGGATATTGTGCTTAAGACTTCATGGACTGTATTTTTAATATATATTAGCAAGATGACGGATACCCTGAGTGGACCAGTCAGGGAAAGCAAACGAAGACAAGAAATATTCTCAGGGTGTTATTGATTATCTGTTTTTCAGAGCAGAGGGAATCATTTTTAACTGGTTTAAACTATGATGGACTCAAGTGGAAAACGCAAGCAGAGTTAGCGAGGAGCATAATTGACTGGGCATGGAACTAAGTAACCTCTCAGCACGCTGGAAGTGGTGGAGCAGAGGGGTTACAGCCAGGGCTGCTCCGAACCCACCGCCCTTTCTTCCCAAAGTGAACTCCACCAGCAGCCAAAGACGACAATGACAACAAGTAGGGGGGGGGGGAAAAAGAAAGGGGGGGGGGTGGGGGGTGGGGAAGGGTCCAGCCACTCAGTTACATGATCTAAATTCTAATCAAACATCATTTAAAGCATGTTTTATTTCAGCCTCTGGAGAGATAGTCCCTCCTGACTCCTCACCATGGCAACCGGTGTCTCATTTCAGAAGTGTCATGCCACATTATCATCTTGCCGGCTCACACACTCCTGCCTGACAAGTTCTCTCTGCCCCTTGTGACAACCATTCCAGGCTTATGCTGTTTATTTTTGGTGTCAGGCTGGCCCTGGCAGATTGAAAGGCAACCTCAACCCCTTGAACAACGAGCACCACACCCCACTTGGTGATAAGAGATGATTTGAGAAGATATTTGCTTACATGTGTATAAGCAATTTGCTGTATGATGAAGCCCTGGCGTGCCTGCGTGAATGCACGCGTGTGTGTGTGTGTGCAAAGGGGAAGGAACTGCAGAAGCGTAACATTTCATGAGAAAACAAACAATTCATTTCGGATCCCAGGCAGTAGGCTTCAATCATCAGATCCTGTCGTACACACAGGATATGAAACGTGGGCCAAAAAGGCACCGAGGGTATTCCCCACAAAGAGAAATGACAGCTAAGCTCGATCCGCCCCTGCGAAATACCCTCGCTGTGTCCCTGCACAGTGCTGCAAGGTGCAGCAGCAGAGGCACTCACAGGAGTAACGGGGACAAAACATAACGGCAGCTCACTGCAGGAACATGCTAGGGCCAGATTCGTCTCTGCTGTCATGGAGTCCATTTGGAAAAGCACTGTTGACAATGAATTACTTGGGATTGTCTGCAATTAGAATCGCACAACCTCGTCTTCAAGTAGCGGGCTGTGTGCATCATGGAGGGCTTCCTTTATTCCATTTTTACAGCCTGTACATAAGTAGAATAATGTCTACAGCTAGGGTTTCTTAGTGTAAGCACAATCAAAGCTGATAGCAATTACAAAAGTATGTATTACACTTGTTTTTAACACTAAGCTTAAGAATACAGCAGCACTTTTTATATACATTTACTAGGATGACTGAGATGGCGGTGGTAGAGCAGGGCTTCTCTCCAGCCAGAATCAGGAACAGCATCCCACCCTCCCACTTCATCAGGCACAGAACAAGTTGTTCCTGGACCAACTGCTCCACTGCTGCCTGTCAGGAGGAAAGCTCCAGGGAATCAGAGATGATGTCCAGGTAGCAACAGCATGAAGGAGAAATGAAGGAGTGGGTTGGCAGATCAACACGGATTTCATATTTACCGTCCAGCCCAGTTACCATAGGCTGTGCCTACAGTTGTGCACTTGATTTAGTTTACAGGCACTGCTTTGGCCTTGGGTAACTTGACCCAACATCTTTTATGTTACCTCAGAGAAGGAATCATAAACTGAGCAAAATCCACCCCATTAACTCCAATGCAGGCTTTGATCAAATCGAGAGCTAACTGGAAAGCAGATTTCATTAAAAACAAACAAAGCAAGATGTGCATTTAATTTTTAATCCATTTTCTAGCAACTGCACCATAGAAAGGCGGAGGCTTACAACAGCAGGGCATTTGTACACAAAATACGATAATCCCAAGGCACGCTAACGGCATCCACAGAGTTGGTAAAAGGGGAGCAAGGATGTTTTAAAAACTATAAAATGAGGAGAATTACTGTTGATTATGGAGCAGCGAAGAAACTCCACAGCTGTGAGTGACAAACACATCAAATGCTACAGGGAGTCCTTCTGGAAAAGGAAAAAAGGGGAACGTTTCATCATGCAGAAAAATATCCCAGGAAAAAAGGATGGAGGTGACACCTGTGTGGCTGCTACCAACCATGGGCTTCATTCTGCCCCCAGCTGCACACACGCAGCCCATCACCAGGTAGGATTTCTCAGTTTCTACAGCAAATGCAGGCGTACACCTAAGGGCAGATTTTAACTTCCTCTCTCAAACGATACACAGCAAATGGAGATGGGCTGCAAACAACTGCACGGCCACTTTGCTCTACAGGAAACACAGCGTATGCATGGCAGTCAGCAGAACCTTTTTACTTCTTCCTGGATGTGCTGTGCAACCAGATGCAGATATATACACTTGCATGCATTGCTTCTACCACATAACCCAGCCTGGGATATCCCATTCCCAACACCTGAGTACCTCCACAGCTCTTCATGGGTGCAAAACCCCCAGGACTGCATCAGTGAAAGCGGAACAGAACTCGCGCTGCCTGCAAGGCCCATCTATTCATCTCCACCCACAAGACTCCCTCGCACCACTGCATGCTTTTTATACTTCATTAAAGCAAATCGCTGATGTTCTTCAGTAGAAAAACATCTCTGGAAAGGATGCAAAGAGCGGCAAGAATTCGGCTCGGGAAGGAGATCTATTTTCATCTTACATTTACAGTTGCTTGTGCATATCTATATATCCATCTGTACCCCTATCTTCATAAAAACCTAACTGCAACAAAATAAATGATAATAATTCTGCGGTTTCTGTTTCCTCTCTTCCCCACCAGAAAGCTGGCAATAAAACAACAAGCTCTCTAAAACAGGCATTACCAACCCAGGCCATGCAAACAAACACTTCACCGTTTTATAATCTCACATGTCGAATGAACATCATCGTTCCCTTCGGTGCCTTAAAATATCAGCTCCATAAAATTACTAAAAGGCAGAGCAGCAATGCTGCCTAACACGCAGCCCACGGGAAGGCTGACAGCACCCCATCATCTTCACTTGTTGGCAGCTTTGAATGCCCATGGCAGCGCTGGTTAGGTGAAGTGCCCACAGAGCACTGTGTGAACACAGTGGGATCCTGGGGATGCAGATGGGTGCAGCTGGCTCCCTGCCCTTCTGCAGGGCAGAGGATGCCAACACTGATCCTAACTCAGCAGCAGAGGGACACCAGATACGGGCATTAAGGTGTACTACTCCTTTACACAGCGTGGTCAGCCCACTGCTGTAGTTGGTTTTAAATAACACTGTGCACTGTGTGATGGATGTTGACAAAACAAAATAACCCTATAATTAAAAAAGACCCAAACCCTGAACCGACGTCGCCAATGAGAGATACAGAAATGAAAACACGAGCCTGGCTGCTACGGGCTCTCCGTGGTCCAGATTTACAACAAACCTATAACTCTGCAGCCTAATAAGATCAAGTTGCTGGCAAAAGGGGGAGGGGAGAGGAAAGTAAGCCTGCGCTTTGCGGAGGGGAGGAAGGAGGCAGGTGAAAATGCTGATATTTACTTAGCGTAAGCGCTGTCCTTGTACAGCGCTCCGTCACGGCGCAGCCCGAAGCTCCGCGCACACAACAGCTGAGGGCACGTGCGCAACGTTCTGCAGCAGCCCGAACAGAGCGCGCAGCGCTGCGAGCCGCGCGGTGCTCCCGGCCTCGGGTTGGGCTCCCGTCGCGAGGCCGTGCGGTGCTGCCTGAGAACCGCGGTTCCTCTCAAAGGATTTCTCACAATGCTTTACCTCGGGATCCCCAGGACTCCTTTGCAAACATGTTTACGTGGGGCCGTAACTTATTTACTTTTACAGACGTTCGCGCATCTGTGCGGCGCGCAACACCGCCCCGTCGGGGAGCGTCTCTTCAGGCGTTGGAGCAAAGCTGACACGCCAGGATCCCCCCCGCCTCAGGGCCGCCCCCCGCCGGGAGCAGAACGCCCCGCCCCGCTGCCCTCGGAGCGCCCACCCGCGCCGCACCTACCGTCGGGATCCGCCGCGAACGGCCGCGTCGGTTTAACGAGGTGTGCAGCAGCCTCTAGCGGCGGAGGGCGGGCGCTGCGGGAACCGCGGCGGGTCGGGGGGCTCCGTCGAGGCGAGCGGCGCTGAGGCAGCCCGGCTCCCCGCAACCGCTTCCCACAGCGCCAGGCGCGCGCGTGGTGCGCGGCTGCACGGCGCCTCGTGCGCGGAGCGCAGCGCGCGACTCGAGCAATGCACGAGGCGGAACCTGAGCGCTTTGCTGCTGCGGCCGTCGGGGAGCAGCCCTGCAGCGAGCATGCCCTGCTTCCGAGGGGATGCGTTCCGTCGTCTTTTCCTCGCTTCCTTCTGTTTGAGGTCTGACGCGGGCCGGGCAGCCCTCAGGCAGCAGGAGCTCTGCTGTGCTGGAGAACCTCCCTCCTCATCCCCTCTTTATATTGCAGACCCCCAGCTGAGCTCTGATGAAGGCCCCCACATAACCCCGTCGTGGCCATCACCTGATGGCACTTTGTGAGGGGTTTCATCCAACAGGGTGGGGTTTGTGTGTGCAAAAGTGGATCCAGGCTGCCGCGTTCCTCTGCTGTAGAAGGGCAGGCGGCTTTCCTGAAACAAAGACACGAGGACACGCAGTGAGCAGAGCCCGCAGATCCTTCCTGTCAGCCCCCGTTGCTGACTGTGAGCAACACGATGAGTGATTTAATTCTGGTTGGACATCAGATGAATGCCCATTAAGGGGAGACCCACAGTGATGCTGTTCCCCCCCCCCCCCCCCCAAAAAAAAAAAAAAAAAACCTCCCCTTTCAGATAAGCAACGTTGGCAGGTCTGATTCACCGTGTTTGACAACGGCCATGTAATTTGCACTCACCTACTGCAGGGAAGATTGGAGAGCTGTTAATTAGAGCTCCCTAGCACATGTTGCAGAAGCACAGCTGCTGGCCTTGGGTTGGACGCACCCTGCAGGTTCCCCAGCCAGGCCAGGTGCCCTCGGCTCCTGCAAGGTTTGTTCCCTTCCTCATGCCTCTTCTGTACCTCAGTTACATTCACTCTGTAACCCCTCCCTCAGTGCCTACAGACCCCCCATAGACTCCCCAACCTCCCCGCTCACAGCCAGGGCAACAGAAACCAAAGCATCCTCAGAGCAGCTGTGTGCACCACCAGCTCAGAGCTCCACCAGGCACTTCCATGTCCCACACTCATCACTTCCCCTCCATGTTATCTTGACTGTATTACACCCAACCTTCGCTGCCACTGCACAAGTTGTATCTCTTGGCTCTCCCCGGCTCATGATTTGCACAAACTCCTCACAAACCCTCCATCAGTTTTCTCCTGTTCCTGGTCCGGCTTCCAATTTCTGAATCTTTGATGGTTCCCCTTAATTACATTCATAACTTCTCCTACTTCTCTACTGCAGTCCCAGATGATGATGCACATCGGCCACTCAGCCACACGAGGAACCTTCTGCCCCACCAATTTTAGTTCCTGGAAAGCCCTCCTCAGACCTCTGGACATGACACTTGCAGGAACCTCTCCATTACTGGTCTTCAAAGAGGTTCTCATTTCCCGCAACAGTTTTTCCTGCTTTCTGCTGACTCAGGTGAAAATCCTGAGAGAGGGCTGACATGGACCGCATGCTTTCAGGGTCTTTCAATGCTCTAATTTCTCCATCACCTCTGCTCAGTTTCCTTCAATATTTCTTCTTTATGCAAAAGGAAATTTATCTTTCATTCTGGCACCTGCCCTGCCATCTGCCTTTGTGAACACGAAGGAAAACTGTCACTGATTTTTTTTTTTTTTAAACAATGTCCATCAATAAATAACCCTCAGCAGCTTTTAGAGTCTTTCCATCGCTGATCTATTATTCCTTTGGCCCATGCAACATTTCTTATTATTTATTATAACCTTTTTCACTGTCTTCCCTCCATTTCCCACCACTGCTTGTCTTGTCAACTCTTTTACTCCTTGGTTCGTTCTGCATTTGCAGCTTCAGGACCCAGTATTATCACATCCTTGTTCACACAGGCAGGGCTGCAGGAGCTCCCAGGAAGGCAACACACCACTTAAGAGGGAGAATTCAAAGGGTGGCAGAACTAAAAAAAAAAAAAAATACAATGGAATTACAAGTATATGGCAATTACAAGTATATGACACATAAGAGGGAGGGCAGCAAAGACCTTGTGCTGATTGTGAATATCGCTGACCGTTTCACACCAAGCCTATGTATCCCGCTTTAATTCATGCATTCCCTCTTTAAACTGACCCTTAGATATTTCCCCTTCTTTCCATTTTATTCTGATTTGAAAATCCGTTGAACTTTCCACTGCTTTTTCCCAACCAGAAAAAAAAAATTCTCAATTCCCTTTCCTGAAACTCAGTTTATTTTTAGTGACAGTGGTCACCAACTGCAGAAAGGAGGGCTGTTGGTTGTTTTATTGCCAGTCTTTTCAATGCTGTTCTCACCCACAGGTCCATGTGGGTCATCTCTGGCTGTTAATAGTTGCATCCACCTTAACTCCTACAAGAGCAAGTGCAAAAAAGCCAGAGCCCTGCGGGTCAAAGCAGAATTGTTCCTTATATACAGGGAGCACATTTAACTGTCGTGCAGTTCCTGCCCGTTTTTGTGTCCCCGTTATTAATTGGTTTCCCTACTCATCCCCAGTGCTATACTCACCCCAGCTGCAGCCTGGGTGCTCCATGGGACAAGGGAACCAATAAAAAGGCATTTGTGAAAATGACTGTTTCAGGGGAGATAAAATATCATTATGTGAAATGGATTTGCTGGCACTCCTCACCAAATTTAGCACCTATTAAATTATAGAAACCATTATTCCTCTACCCAGAAAAGTCTGAAACTTTCTCTAAAAGATGTATTTTATTATTTTAAGTGGGGCTTAAGTGTATTTTTTCCTTGTGATAAATTTCCACAATATGAATTTTCTTAGAGATACAACAGTCTTTTTCGACTGAGTTTATTGCTCAAATAGGACAACAGCACTCCCTTCTTACACTGAAGGAATATTTCCCCTCTGAAACGAGGTGTCTGGAATGTAGGTAGCTGGGTTTTCACATGGCAAGCCTTTAAGCAGCAAATATTGTCGCTGCTTAACCATACGAAATGATACAGATTCTTTTATTAACAGGGCAAGTGCTGAAGAACATCAAGTGCTTTTATGAAACAAAAAGAAAAAAAATCATAGAATCATAGAAAGGACCACAATGATCATCTAGTTTCAATCCCCCCTGCTGTGTGCAGGTCACCAACCAGCAGCCCAGGCTGCCCAGAGCCACATCCAGCCTGGCCCTGAATGCCTCCAGGGATGGGGCATCCACAGCCTCCTTGGGCAACCTGTTCCAGTGCATAAAAACAGTGCTGTGCTTCCCAAGCACAACATAAGTAAACTCTGTCCCTGTGCTCTACCATGACGTTTGCTAAGCTCTGACTTCTCACCAGCCTTGTATGCTGTACCAGCATGGACGGTCCATGCAGGATGGGCTGAACGGAGTTGCAGGAAAGGGCCTTTTTTCCTCGGGTGTGCTTTGGGAGGACGGGAGGCTGAAGGAACAGAAGTGTTGTCTGAGTCTCTAATCAAACTTCTCCCGGCCGGCTGTGAGAGGCCAAACTAATTAAACAGAACATCAACCCACTGAGGGAGTCAGGCATGGGGAAAACATTGCCTGGAGAAAACAGAGTGGGTTGGAAAAGCAGGTGCCTCACAAAGGATGGAAGTGTGACCTTGCAGGACAGAACTGAAATGTGCTCATGGGAATACTTTGTGTAGGTGCCTACAGAGGTTTGGAGCAGATGTTGCCATATTCTTACATGCAGGAGGCAAATGAGGAGCAGAAAGATGAGAAAGACCGGTCCCATTTGATCACCGAGCATAGCACGAGTGGAAGAGAGTGGATGCACCTCTGCAAACAGTTTTTTTCCTCTTCCTTTTTAACGTGAAGAAACTTGGAAACACCTGCAGCGGGAAACAAAAGGTTAATTAAAAAGAACCCCAGTCTTTGCACTAAACTGATTGCTGGGACTCCTGCCAGCCTGGGAAGGTTAAAGAGCTCAAGCATGCGTGGGCTGTGGGGGGAATGGCTAAAATTTACAGCCAGCTCCCTGGAAAGTCACAGTTCAGCTGTTCTCCCGGAGCAGGTGCTCATGGGAGCGGGCCTGTCCCTTTCAAAGCGTGAAGATTGATGAAGCCTTCGCTCTCACCAACTGTAAATATACAACCAGCCTTGTCAGAGCAGGTTTGTAACATCACTTGCTGACAGCAAGAAATTTTTTTTAACCTCCTAAACACGCACACACACACGCTTACCCCACATAGACTCACACACACACAAGTGCTAAAAAAATAAAAATAGGCTTTTCCCAGGAAACACAGAAAGGCAATAAATAAAATGATGGGAAAGGCATTTATGTTTTCCCTGCCCGGAGAGGCAATAGACAGAGGACATGCACGGGGTGATTTCATCCTGTCCTGGAAAACAAGCAACATCTTCCTTGGGCTGTGCAGTTTATGGCCAAGTCCTGCACGGGGCTCAGGCACTGCACAAGAGCCAACACCGCAGCCTGGTGGGCTTAAATCACTGCAGCACTGTGCTGCCAGCCGCCCTCCGTGGAGATGGAGAACAAGCAATTGTAAGAGAAGATACTGCTAAAATAACCATTTTACACTGCCCTGGTGTCTACTTCCTGAGGACTTCATAACGTGTTACAGATAGAAATTACTTATTCTTTGCAGCCCCACAGGAGGATCTTTAGAAAGTTGGACACAGACGTGTTTAGATTGGGATTTTCAAAGTTTTTTGGAGCATCCCTCTGAGCCTGGGGAACCACACAGACTGTGAATGGGCTTCAGTGACTGAACTCCTTGGATAATTGGAAGCAGAATTAGTATTCGTGTATGAGTTTATTGTCCTGCCCCAGAATTCATTTTTAGCATTGCAGTCGCCTGAACTAAAATAATTCCACAGCGCCCTTTTCTCTTTTCTTTCCCAAGGAAATTCCTTCTGTGTTATCATTTTCTCTACAGCAAAATTTCAGGCTAATAGAAAACGTTGAGCAGGTTTCTTTTGTTTGGCATTGCCTTAGCAGAGTGGAGGGATTACACTGGTTGCTTTAGGAAACATCAGCCCAGTCTGTCTGCCAGCAAATTCTACCTCGGAAATTCATCAGCTTTTTGTTTGGTGAGGCTTTTTGCCCGTTTGGTGGGGCACTGGCTTTTGGATTTGCTCCACTGCTTCTGTTCTGTTACTTCCTTCTGCTTTTATTAATAGAACAGCACACGACTCCCTGCTCCTCAGACTCCATGATCTATCCCACTATGCTTTCAGGCAAAAACAGGCCTCCAATGCTTTGCTCACACTTTCAAAAAGCCTTGTTATCTCTTTCTATGAGACAAAGAAGTTTCTACATCTCCAACGTGAAGCTCCAACAGGCCTTGCTTGCACGTAGACCTGCCCACCATACATTTCATTTGCATTTCTTTCGAGGTGCTTCAAGAATGAACACACCTTCAAAAACACCACGCAACTCGCTGTTTGCAAACTGCCACATTCTTCCTTTGCTCGTGTTACATCTGTCTTTCAGATTCTCCGCCTGACGTGGCTGTTAGAATTGCTAACGCTCTGTGATGAGGACTGCTGCTGTCATTTCGGCTGTGTTTACCCAGTGCCCCTCACCTCCCCTCCCCACCACGGCCCCTCACACTACAGCATATGCTAATAAATAACAGGAGAACAAGATACTTCCCTCTTTGTGGCAGCAGAATTGTAACAATCCTGATGAATACGCCAAGGACTGGGAATGTTTCCAGAAGCTGTAAGGGAAGAAGCAGTAATTTATTGCAGGTGCTAAAAATACATCATATACCTGTGAATACAGGTGACCATCACTTGCTCAGGCAACCAGTGCTGTCCTTGGAGAGGGAAGAACACGAAGGTCTCTTTCCACCATAGAGCAGCAAACAGCAAAGTCCTCCCCAAGCTCTGGGGGGCAGGAACTGACACATGCTTGCATTTTACTCCACAACAGAGATGAAAAGCAAAGGTGGCCTGAAATACAATTAAACGTTCTAATAATTAACTAATATCCTATTTGGGTTTCTGGATGGATCCAAAATGTTCTAAGTAATTTTTTCTGTCAGGTTCATTATTACCCTTACACTTCATACGGCATTGCCACATTCCTCCTGTTTAATTTTGCTCATCCCTTCAGCAAAGTCCCCGCTCTGATACATCCCTGGTTATGTGCCTGATCCTGCCCCATCTCTGTCTCCCCTGCACCCACTGGCACTCTCTGCCACTCCACAGCCACTGAAGCAGAAGGGCTGGGGCTCTGCCCTCCAGGGCAGCCAGGTGCTGGGGGGGCACAGACCCCTTTGCACATGTGTATAAATGGAATCAGCTGTCCTGCTGTCAGAGCTCCCCAAGTTTCCAGGGCTCCTGATCAAGCCGCATTCCCTGAGTTATTCACGGATGCTTTCTCAGGAGCCTAAATGGATCAAGGTTTTTTTATGGCTAATAGGGCAGCTCCAGTTTCCGTCAGCTGAGGACGAGGCCAAACGACTTGCTTTCATTAGCTCATTTATTTTTGCCAAGAGGACAGGCAAGGCATCCCATCCCATCCCCCATGAAACTCCCAGTTCAGCCTCTGCATGGCAAAGAGGAGGAACCCAAAGCAGCAAGCATGCCCACTTATCTCCAGTTCTCCCAGCCCTCCCACCCCACCCAGGGAAACATGCAGCATTACAAACTCTGGCAGCTGGGAGCATCTGATTATTTGTATGGAAATTTGCTCCAAGTTGAGAAGTGGATCAATGACTATTTCTCAAGCTGGCTCCATTTTGAGAACCAAAATTGACTTCTGGAGAAGCTGCTTGATTTCCCAGCTCTCTCCCACCAGAAAACTGATTATTGCATAGGGCAGGGGTGATATAATTCAACTCCAAATAGGTTTGGGGCCTATTAGACCCAAATATAAAACTCACCGAGGCTCCAAGGAAAAAACAATTGCTCCGTGCTTTACTCTTCCTTGCCAGGCCCTTACTCCTATCTCTGTTTGGTGTAAATCCATTTGCTTATATTCAGCACTCCACACAGATGGAAATGGCAGCTCAGGACATAACACAGGAGAGGCTCATTTCGAGCAATTTAGTTCTCCTCCTTTCCCAGCTCCCCAGTTTGCCCTATTTCCATTACCCAGCCGCGCCACCTCTGCTGTCTATATAGCATCACTGTCTGCCCACATCTCTCCTTGTTCTTTTTTTTTACCCTTGAAAATACTTTTCTTCTACCTTCAGGCCTTTCCCTTCTGTGTCCCACGCCTCTGGGTACACCCACCGCACACCCCCAGTGTCAGCAGCCTCCCTTCCCCTGCCCAGGAACTGTGGGTGCTCTTTTGTCACTGAGTTTAAATCTGAAGAAATTCGGTTCACCTTTCACTATGCAGCCTCACCCCTCATATCATTCGGAGTGAGCTTTAATTGAACATTCTGATTATAAGAGGCCGCGTGGTGTTGAAGCCTTCTTTTCACAGCTGAGAGATGTGCCAAACACACAGAGAGCTCGCCCTGCTCAGCCTGGGACAAGCAGCACCTTTCCAATCTGTCCTCAAAGGGGAAATGATGACTTTCCCTTCTTCCTCCCTTCCCTCTCAGCCTGGCCTCTCCCAGGATCAGGATGAGCCTGCAGAACACGTTGTGCTGCAGGAGCTGTTTGCTCTCGCCACCACTCTATGGAAGATTTATCTTGACCTGTGCCTCTCTCTGCTCCATCCCAGCCCAGGGCAGAGTCCCCCTTCCCGGAGCCAGGTGTAACAGCAATACCCTCCTTCCAGTTTGTCACTTAAAGCACTCAGGGGCAGCAGAGGTAACACAGATCCATGCTGCTGATGCACGGTCCTGGCTGCAGGTTAGCACAGTGCAGTGCTTTCTGCTAGGCCTCCATAAAGAGGCTTTTAATTTAGCTCTAATAGGGAGGTGATTGTATGTTAAATAAATACTAATTGATTATTTAATATATATGCGTTGAGGGTTAACTGCTATGTAATGAGCTCCTCTCCATTAGTGGGGCTGCTAAACGTCAATTAATATGGGTTTTATAATCAATTGATATTTCACATGCCCTAACTTGCCTGTTTAGACTTAATGGGTCAGCATTTCTGAAGTGGCCAATGCCAATAGATTCTTTATAAAATGAAAACACTTTTGTTGGCAGATTTAGCACAGAGTGGAAAGTCATAGAACTACGAAAAGCTCAGCCAACCAGCTCTGCAGAGCTGGGCACGGTGGGGCCAGTCTGCCTGATACCAAGAGCTGCACATGGCAGAAAGCTCTGCAGAGGGGAGCGGGACGCAGCCACCCTTCAGGTCCCACATAAGCTGCTCTTACTGCCCATCTGCACCTGGATGTGTGCTGGAGATGTGAGAGGCAGCACCCCATTTGGAATGGACTGTCAGATGGCTTGTAGGGACAAGATCTTCAAGAATGACCAGGGGATTTGAACACATGGCTTCCATTTATTTTCATCAGCATCATGTCTGCATCTCCCAGCTGCCTTTTTGAATGTCTAGTGGCTTAGATTTTACTCTCTTTGCCTCTTCTCCCCAAACACATACAAATAAATTACATGCAAGCTGTTTCTGGTATAGGCCAGGGAGAAAACAAGGAAGTTTCTAATGAAAGGAATGATCATAATTCATTTATGACCATTATCGAACACTATTTCTTCTCTAATTTCCTTATTGGCAGTTTTCCTGATGCGGCAGGGTTTCACTCAGCTTGCCAAAAACTCAGGCTGGAGGAGAAAGCACACAGAACGACCTGTGAGCATCACTTTGGGTTTGCCCCCATCTCCGTAAACTCATTCTGGTATGCAACAGCACTCATTAAAGGGAACCTGATTGCTCTTGCTGTTGTGCAAAGCAGCTCATCTCACCTAACCTGGAAAAAGGCCAGTTCCCACAAACTGCCTCACAGCCCAAAGCCTGGGTGAGACAAGGTGTTCATCTCCCACACACGGTAGGTTTTATAAAACCCACGGATGTTTTAAGTGATAAAAGACAGTGACCAAGCAGGGAAATGCAGGGCAGCACCTTCTCTTACTGCATCTGTACAGCGCTAAGACAATGGGGCTTAAAGCATCATTGCAGCCTTCAGGCAGTGTTATGATGCAGATAATAAAGATGAAGAAAGAACAAAGAGGAATGTGTGGCCAGCCCATGGTTTGAAGTCTCCAGGCTGATTTATGTCATCTGAGGATCTGGCCCAGTTAAATCTAATTTTAACATCCTTGACAAATTCGCTTTAACGGCAAACTGTCAAAAGGGAACCTTTTCTCCTCCCCTCATCCTTCCATCTCCATGAGCTGTTCCCTGTGACAACACTGTTCTCGAGCTGTAATTGGCAGTATCATTCCATTATCACTTATTCTTTAGGCCTGAGGATTTCATTCCTTGCAATTTTCCTGTTGTACAAATTCACGTCTATTATTTCACCACACGTGCATGCATCCATTCCCTGCGTGTGTGTGCTGCGTGCCTGTGTGTGTCAGGGCAGGAAAACAGTGCTTCAATCTGAAAGGGCCATTGTCTTATAGGCCATCTGAAGGAAGCAAAAGAGCTAATTACTGGTGACAGGTAGTTATGATTCTATGACTTGCAGTAGGAGGTGTCTGGCACCCTCAGCAAACAGTCTAAATTCTCCTTATAAGCATTTTAAATGGACGATTATCCTAATGAACTTAATAGCATCGCTATCCAAGGACAGCATCAACTCATTGCCATCCTGTATTTTCCAGAAATAGCTTCTCTTTAAACAGTGTGCCCCTGCTTTGAACAGTAATGGTTTTTAAAAGTGTCTTAGCACACAAAAGCAAAATCTTTTTTGAAACAGGGTGGAATTGGTTGGTGATTATCACTGAAAAGCTGGCAGCCACCAGCTAACCTTCTAACAATGAAATATGGGAATTTACCTTCATGCTTCAATGCTTGCTATTCAGCTGTCTACCAGGGTCTAAATCAATGATTCTACACCCTCCACTCAAGGTTTCTCTTTCAAATGCTGCAGATATGACCTTAAGTTCATCATCTAAACAATGCAGTTCACGTTTAATTTCATTAATCTAAGATCTTCCATAAAATTGCAATATGGCACCATACCTTTCAAGTACCTTCATTAAAATCCATGTTATTTCTAAATCCTATGCATATCTATGAGGTCATACGGTGTTTTATTAGAATGGATTTTTGAAAGGCTCAGCTCTTTTATCACCAATTGTCATAAGGTAGTTTACAATAAATTAAAAAAGAAACAAAAGAACCCCCCAACACGATCTCATTCCTACCACTTAGGTGGTAAACAGATCTCCCATTTCTGAAAGTTACCCCCTTTCCTAATTTTTACCCTCTTTCTGAGGATTTAACAATTGCAGGAAAGAGAAGGAAATTTCGAAACCCTCCTGACTCATGAATTTCTGCTACTTGCTGTGCCCAGTGCAGCTCCCTTGCTGAAATGTGTCCATTCAGATCCAAGGGCCATTATTTTCAAGCTTTGTCCCTATGTGTCTACGTGGCACCATGTTTTCAAATCACACACTGGATTTTTTACTGTTCTTGGAGTAATATATTGGCAAAAGCTCATTCTTCTGCCGCATTCCTTCCCCGACCTCTTGTCTATTTCACAGATTATTTGGTATTGTAATCGTACGTTGCAGGGCTATTCAGGAGCAGGGACCTCCATGATAACAGATGCCAAGAACACAAAGGACAGATCGTGCACCATGAACCCACAGCCCTCAGCGCTCCCCATCCACACAGCTACAAGATATTTCAGGGAAAGAGCGTTTCTTCTTGATGTTGTGCTTGCAGGGAGCATCAGCATCCCCACAGACACCAGAGGAAGGCACCACCTCTCTGTGTTCCACCTGCACACCTCACACAAACATCCAAACACCGAAATTTTTCCACAAAAGTAAAGAGGACAACATCTGTACCCAAAGAAAACCAATATTCCATGCTACTTCCAGGCTCTGAAGCCAAATATTGAGCAGCCTGAAGCAGCTCCGTGTTCCTGCCCTCAGCTCTGGCACTGTTTAGGTTCCAGCAGCAGACAGCAATGCACCGCTGCAGATATGTCATTTGTGACCAACCTGCTGATGACTTCAGCTTCACCTTCCTTGGTCTGTCTATGGAAGGCCGGCCAGGCAGCAGCCCCACGCCTGCGGTGTAGCATCACTCTGAAGAAGCAATTACAGCGAGCGGAGCAAGGAACTAAAGACAGCTCACCTAAATGAACTGAGGGAAAAGTACATGAGAAAACAAGAAAATGTCTTCATCACTTTTCAGGCTTCAAATTGGAAAAACAGGAATCAATACAGCAGAACTTCATTTAATGGTGTGAAAAACAATCCGGCCCGCGACAGGCAGGAATCACTTATTGCCAAACAAACAGGCCAATTAGGCCAGGCAGGGCTGTGGGGTTCTTCAGGGTGTGGGGCTCTGGGGCACAGCCAGCACCATCCTTGGGCAGCTCAGGTTCTTCATGCATACAGAACGGCAGCACCAGCACTGCCACGCAGGGATTTCATTGCCTTTGCTGTCATTGCCACCACCAGCATGTTAAACAGATTAATGGAAGCAATGGAGAGGGAGCATAAAACACCCCGCCTTCGCCCTGGGCCGAGTGCCACCAGAACAGAACGAGGCTGCAGCTGACATTTGCAGAAGTAACACTGCGTTATTAAAACAAATTTGGCACGAAGGGAAAACATGTTTGCTTTGCACATAATAACAGCTACGAGAGCATATTCAAAATCAAATATTTGCAAGGCAGAGCACAAGGGTTTTCTCCTCCCCTTCTCCTCCTCCTGGCCACCCAGAGCCGCTCCGTGTGCCACTGCATCTCATGGCCAGAGTTTTAGAAGTAAATGCAGAGCAGACACCAGGCCTGAGCTGCAAATCTAGCTTTGAATCGATATTTGTCTGAAAAAAATAAAAATAAAAAAAATCAAGCCAAACCATGTGGCACAGCCTCTGGATGCGTTCACACAAAACTGCTACGCACTGCAATTTTTCTCTTGCTTTTTTTTTTTTTTTCCCTTCTCCCGAAACATTGGTTGTATTTTCTCCCTTTATTTATTGGAGTGCTGAATGGATTATTTCAGCAGTAAATCAGGCCCTTTCATTACATTTTTTAAGGTGTTGTCGCTGTTATGAAGTACAGCGTGTCATCAAAATTAAGCTCGGATTGCATTTACCACCTATTTTATAGAGAGACAGAATTACTCGATGGATTTTTTCCAGCTCTCTAAGCACTGGGTGTCTTTCTTTCACAGAACAACCTGCTCCCCAGCTCCACAGGAATGTTCTCCTACAAGCTATGAACATTTCACCCAGCCTGTCTCAGATATCTTTGTGTTATGTTTTAGAATAGAGTGATGCTATTTCTTTCAGCCCAAACTAGCTGCTCATGCAACCAGAAGGAATTGTTAACAGGTGAGGCGACGCTAGAGCATCACCCTGTGCTTGGCTCCTCCTTGCATACAGAGTACACATCAGGAGTGGCCCTGTTGAAGTCAGTGCAGTTACCTTATAGCAAAATTGCCTACACAGAACTGCAGTGAGGCAGCCCTCAGCTTTGCTGCCTCCATGGCAGAGGGCACTGAGCAAGGAGCTGATTCCAGGGTTGGTTCTAGATGACATCTGCTGAGCATGAGGAATTTTTCCTTGCCCACTGCTAGCTTCCCCATGCAGCCCATTTCATTGCTCTTCCGTACCCTGCAAGGCACAAATAGCATTACTTGGGCTACATTTCCAAGGAAGTCGCTATCTAAGAGGCTTGTGTATGTGCATTCTCTTCTCTTTGGGCATAAGCCCAAAGTAATTGTGTATGAAGCTCTGCAAGCAATATGTGCAAGAACAGAACCCTGCATGCAGTAAGTGGGACAGGAGAGCCCTGCTGAGCCCCCACCCCAACCCCAACTTCTCCTCCACTAAGCATTCCACCTGCAAAGAGCATTAAAACACTGCTCTGTTAAAAGCATTGAAACTGAAGCATATGCCTGAAGTTGAGTGTTACAAAAATACTGCCATTTCCCTTAGACAGCAGGCACAGAGGAGAGCTGCATGCTGTAGGCACTATCCTGAGTGGCAGAGCTGGGCCCGGCAGGCCGGTGGCCACAGCTTTCAGGCACAGCTCAAATCCACGCCACCCTGCTGCTGGTTTTAAGCAGTAAGTGGCACTTCAGGAAAGTTTCTCCTAAATTTCCATAGCTTTGCTGTGCACAGTGCTTTTCTGCACTCCTATTCTGCACCATCCCTTTAAATTTGCAGTAACATGTTTTGCCAGCACTTATAGAAACCAGAACGTCCCTGAAGAGATGAGCAAGCAATGCCTCACCTGCACACGGCTCAGCCTCCGCTCAGGCCGCTCCTCCTCCCATCCCACCCGCACCGGCTGGGAGCAATCCAGGGAAATTAGTGGCATTACCCTCTGCGAGCCCGCCAGCACTTACGCTCCAATCTTCAGAAAAGTGACTGCAAATCTGCAGCCACGTCTGCCTATTGCTACAGAAGTCATTTTCGAAAACTAGCAGCTGCACATTACGTGCGACACTGAACGCCGCGTGCGTCCGTGACCGCTGCCGCATCCTGAGACAGCGCTGCACAGCCCTTCATTCGTCTTCCCTGACATCAACCCGGGACTCAGATGTGATGTTTCACTGAGACCTTCCTCCCACAGCACCTGCAGGTGCCCCGCTGGGGATGGCTGTGGGCCCAGGGGCACACAGCAGGATGCAGCCAGGACACTGCCCAAACTTTGGTCGCCCACTGCAGACGCAGAGCTGCTCAAGGAGTTAAATGTATTAAGCAATTTACAATTAATATAGAACTCATTCCAGAGATATCTACTAGAGAGTACAACAGGGCAATTAACCCACTAATACACTAGGCTATTACATCGCTATGTCTCTTATTTTAGCCTGAGGTGATTTGAAACGCATTGGATTAAAGGATATTACAGGAGATAGCATGAAAAATAGCTTAATGTAATGAGCCATCCCGTGATGTCTGCTATTAAAGATGATTTGCAGTTGAAAACTACAACATACAGTAGTTCAGCCATTTAGAAACACGAGTGTTTAACTCTTTTCTAGCCCCCGTCCCTTGGAGGGATCCATGCGAGAGCCCCTCCTCTCTCCCACCTCCTCAGCCTTTATCTGAGGATTATCAGATGCATTTTATTAAAGCACAACGGTGCCATTGGGAGACCAGTGCCTGAGGTTGATAGAAAACCAGCAATCTGCTAATAACTTTTAGAACTGGATGCTTGAGACAGTAAATAGGCCAAGGGAGGCTGTGTGACGGGCAAAATGCTGGTGAAATGGGAGCATCGTGCGTTTCTGCCCTGCCATTGGGCCTGTGTGGCAAGACACCTCTGCACCCACGTGCCAATAGGGGACACCAAGCCATTTGCCAGATGCTGCCCCAGGGCAGCCGTGGGATGCCAGGCAGGCTGATGGCATGGGAGAGCCTCCTTCTAATGGAGGAACCTGTCACTGTCACCACAGTGTCAGCATCACCGCCCGGCCCCACTCTCATAGCGCCCTTCTGCATCTCTGCAGTCCCAGGCGGCACGGAATCTGTCATGCCTTGTTTCCATCCAGAGGAAGGAGCAGTGTGGGAGAAGAGCAGGGGATGACCAGCTTTTTCTGACCTCTTCTCCTTCAATTTCGCTCCTTTCTTGGCAAGGAGGAGGCAGCCATCATGCTAGGTGGAACCGACAGACCCATCTCTGCATTGCTCCCCGCACACACAATAGCTGTGTCACTCAGCATCAGGAACGGGATGATGTGATGACGTGATGACGTGATGGCCCCAACCCAGGCAGCTTTCAGCCCTCCTACTGGGGCAGGAGGACTGGCAGGAGGCTGCCGGACCTCAAGGCCCAGTTATACAACTCAGGCTCTCCTCCCCAGCAGGGCCTGTATCCCCCCGCCCTGCACAGCACATCATAGCACAGCTTTGGAAACAGGACTGCAAATATCACACAACACAAAACCAGAGGAGAGAAGAACAAAGAACAGATATATAACATCATTTCAGTCAATCGGGACTCGTTCAAGGCAAGACAGGGTTTTGCAGGACGATGTATTCCTGGCTGGCGTGATGCACATGGGCTGATTGCTGCCAGTACTTGAACGGAACAGCACAGGAAGGCGAAGGGGGAGTGGAGAGAAGCAGGGGAGAAGGGTTGGTACAGAGGGATCTTTCCACAGGAAAACTCCCTTTTTGGAGGGTAGGAGGGATATTAGTTGGTAACAGCAAGAGCATAAATTTTTGCACTCCTATAAATCATTATTACTGGAACGTCCCTGAGGGGATGAGAAGAATGAATCAGTTACACACACACAGTGCCAAACTTTCTCTGTTTCCTTTTCTCTTTCAAGAAAACAAAAACCAAACACCACAAAACAGACAGGAGAAAGGTAGAGAGGGAAAGTAGAGAGAAAAAGAGAACAGCAGCAAAAAGAGGAGGAAAAGAAAGGGAAGAATGAGAAGAAGAGAATGAATGAACTTTGGAAGCAATTTATAATTCCTTTCACCTACATCATGAATTGAACATGCAAAAAAAAAAAAAAAAAAAAAAAAGGGAAGGGAGGGAGGGAAAATATTCCGCCCAGCATGCAGATTATCATTTGAAAAGATTCTGTTGCTATGTTTTTGTCCCTGGGTGATGAAAATGAAATTGTCTGATGTGTGCGCCGTGTTAGATTTACCTTTGCAGGGTTCACACACAATCAGTAGAGAGGGGTCATGCCACAATATGTCATCTCACAGCTCCATCACACCAACTCCAATTTATACGAGGAGGTATTATGCATTTCAAAGGAGCCCCCTGCGCGTGGCTCTTGTTACTGATCTATATCACAGCTCAGCTGAGGGAAGATTAGTTCTGCTGCAAGGGCAACGAGACTTATTTGTTTATGATTATATCCTCCTTAAAGATGCACTATTCCCTTTTTTTAATGTCTAATTTAAAGTGTGCATTAAAGGGGGCTGGGGAGGGGTGGGAAGTAAAAGGTGAGAGAATTCTGCACTCTCCCACAAGGAAACCTAATAGTCTGAGTCTCCCATGCATCCTGCTCATTAAAAAAAAAAAAAAAAAAAAAAAAAGAGAGAAGAAAAACTCCATTTAAATGCAAATTTGAGTTTTAGCTGGGGACTCCCCCAAAAGCTTCTCTTGGAAGCACCAGGGAAATAGGATTCAGAAACCTAAAATGGCTGACGGCAGTTGCACACCACAGAAAGCGTTTCCTCCCTCCTGTGTCCCCATTCCTGCACAGCCCGACCTGCTCGGGTGCAGCAGCGATCGTCACATCGCTGCACTGTGCTGCTCCTCGGCCAGGCCCAGCAGTGCTGCCCTGCAGCTCCCACTCACTGTTGCTTTAATCAACATTCTCCCATAAAGTCAATGTTTCCATCCCCGATAAAAGCTCTGAAGGGTTTAACGAGGCCGCCGAGCACAGCACAGCTGGGAAGCCTGCAAGCAAGGCTTCATTTCGGGGCTTCAGCTCACAGCATGCAGGCGGCCTTGAGAAACCAGTGGCTTGAGGAATGTCAGCTCAGCAGGGATGTAGATTTGTTGGACAGGACACGGAAGGAAGTGGGTTGGCACTGCATGGTCCCATGTGTGGCCCCGGGCACATGAGAGCATCCCACCTGGCTGCTCTCACCACTGCATCCTGCTGCTGTCACTTTGCTAGGACACCAAACCCATGTATGAAAAGTCCTCCCTGTTTCCCCAAGGAAACTACAGCATTGTCCAACCCCGAGGACACTACAGCATTTTCAACACCAAGAGCTGCACCCACACTCAGACTCAAAGCATTAAACATTTTCTGCTTAAGTGCAAAATCTTTAACATATGGCTCATTAAGTTTCCTCAAACGCCAAACTATGGCTGGAGAAGGAAAACCCAAGATGCTGAGGGCCGGCTGCAGGCACCCCAAAACCCACAGCTCTCCTGCTCTGGGGGCACCAGCTTCCACCAAACCAAGCCCAATGAAATGCATCACCAGCCCACAGCAGGCAGGACATCCTCCATTCTCCCTGCTCCCTTTCTCCTTCCTCTTTGTAAAACCGCACTCCTTCCACTCCTTTGAAAGCTCATCATAGGATGGGTGAAAACAATTAAATGAAATAGACTGGTAATACCCATGGGAAAACATTTTTCGATATGATATTACAATCTTGTTTCAAAATTGGATTTTGCCAAGAGGAAATACAGTTTATTATAAAACACATTTTCTTTTAATTTAATTATATAATCTTTGGCTTCAGAGAAGGGATGCTTAAATCAGACCCATTTAATTTTCAAGTGTATTCACCCATCACCTAGGGCAAATTGGTTTAAATTAGTAGGTGACTATATAAGTTCTAGATACACGTCAGACAAAAATTTATCTGTGAACTCTGTGTAAGAGTGCATCGACATCAGCAGCACAGCAGCTGAAATTACAGGGGAAGAACAGCAGAGCACCTGAAGAGTGGTATAAACTCCGATTTCAGGGACAGGCACAACAACAACAACAAAAACCCCACAGATCTGGGATTTTTTTATTATGATTTTTTTTTTTTTCCTTTGTTAATGCTTTGCCAGATCAGTTCATCACACTGCGTGTCTGCACTACGCCAATAAAAACTGATGACCTGCAGTTAGTTTCTACCAGGTGCATTAAATTCCCATAACGTGAACAGATCTTGCTAAGTCTACC